GTCTTAAGCCTACTCTTAAATGTGGAGAGGGTGTCTGCCTCCCGAACCACAACTGGAAGCTGGTTCCACAGGAGAGGAGCTTGGTAACTGAAGGCTCTGGCTCCTGTTCTACTTTTTGAGACTAAACAACACCACTATTTAATAGTTATTCTTAATGACCTGGTTGGATTAGAATGAAAGAGACACTGGAAACGCTACCGCTTTTGTCCACATCCATAGGGCCCACCGGAATCAACACAACATGAAAGTTCCTTGTAGCCTCTCACAACTCCCTGTAAATGAATAATTAGAATAGTCTTGCAGTTTGAATAACAACTCAGCTGACCAATATGCAATTTAATGAGCCTGTGACGTATACCCTATTACATTTACTCTCAGAGGTTGGTGAGTCTCATCAAGGGGATTTGCATGGACCTGTAGTTCTGCCCTGCAGCTTTTCACTGGTGTTCTCTTGTTTCTTTTCTCCCAGTGGAGTGAAATCCAGCTCAGAGTGGGTACACAGGTTCCAGTTCCTGTGCTCCAAGCTTGTGGAAGACGCACAATGAGAACTATTTTAAGCAAGTGGATGGAACGTAAAGACGCCCACTATCTACTGATGGATGTTGCTTTTACCCAAGAACAGGAGCCTGAATCTAGTCAGCTCAGCCCACTACAAGTTCACCTTTTTGACTCAGACGAACCCATCACAAGATTTCAGGATGGTAGGAAAGTCCTGGACCTCCAGACCTCCAACCCGATTCCTGCCTCAGTCCAGGGTTTTCCAGCCAACTATCTGAACCGCAGTCTGGCTCTGAGCCTGGGCTCTGTCCGGCACAGAGGCTTCCAGCTCGCCTTCTCCTACTCTGGAAAATGTGTGCTGATATTATCCATCAGGCTGTACTATAGGAAGTGCCCTGACATCGTGGCTCACCTGGCCTTGTTTAAGGGGACGGGGGCCGGCTCGGGTCCCCTGACAGGTTCCTGTGTGAGGGGAGCTGTGGAGGTTTCTCAGCCTGTCAGTGAGTGTAATGTGAATGGAGTATGGGTTCCACTGCAGGGGCTGTGTACCTGTGAACCTGGGCATCAAGTCATAGGTGAAACCTGTCAAGGTACGGAGATTGAATGAATTTACAGTTATTTCATTCTTTTTCATCTGTTTTATTAATATTTATTAAGCATTAAACAATATATATTTCTATTAAATTAATCTTTAGATTTTAGTCACAAACTATATATTCTGACTCAACAATCAGTACCAGAATAAAAGTGGATGCATATTTTCGTTTTTAAAGTTACAATTATGAAAGAAAAGTCAGAATTTAGATTTTAAAGTCGTGATTCTTGACCGTAAATCTTTTTTCTGAGGATTTTGGCTTTAATTTTCATTCATCATTTATCATTTAGTTTTTTAAAACAGTTACATCAGTTTTTTTCTTACATGGCCCAGATTGTCTTCCTATGATGGTGATTTAAAGGTAAAATAAATAATTACACAGCCGGGGAGGGGGGTTATTACTAATTATTACAATTAGTAATTAATAATAAGTCACTGAAATCACTAAAATTTAATTAAAATAAAATCACATTGTTCTTACAAAATTGTGACTTTAATCTAAGAGAATATAATTCTTTAATAGCAAATGTACAACTTTTATCTTGGAATACTACCCCCTTCCACTGGCGCTTTTCGTTTAACCTACAATGGCTCTAATACACCGTCTAATACATACCTATTTGAATGTTTACTTATTCCCAAAGTACTTTACTATCATGTATGTTCTTTTTTTCTTAGATTTCTTTAAATGAAATTAATTAACAAACATAAACTATTCAACAGATATGTTGAGAAAAGTCAAACTCTCATGGCAACAAACTTAAATAAAATTTTGGATTAGATTTGAGTTTCTAAGGCTTTGAGTTTGTCCATCTTGTCCAATTGTTTTTCCTTCTGTTAACTCAAATTACAGTAACTTTTATATAATCACAGCTCACATGAAGCTAAAGTAACTCAAATCTGCGTGCTTTATCAACTGGAAATTCTTGTCTTATAATTTATTGTGTCATGTTTTGATCCTCATGAGCTTTTGCTGTGCAGTCCAGCCACAATGTTCCTCAAATGTTCCCCTATGGGTCAAGTGCCTTATGCAATATGGTGCAGGAAGAGAGACTCATCTGAGACACACAAACAGACACATACTGTAACAGCCTCCATCTTTTTTCCTTTTTAGAAAAAATACCCTAGACATATTTTATTTTCTTAAAGAAGGGACAAGGGTATTTGATATTTTTTTTGTTTATTTGTTTTTTTGTTTCAATTCTTAACATGTTTAAAAGTTTGTAATAAAATATCCAGTTTGCTCTACAATTACAATTAATACAATCTGGTTTCCATTTATACTAATATAAATGATTTTATTTTTAAGATTTTTTTTTAGCTGCTACAAATAGCTAGTGCTTTGTGGAAGAAAGCGGTACAACTAGACAGATCACAGTTTTGTCATGGCATTGATGCAAACCTATTGGTATTGGTATTTTTGGATCTATGTAGCTTGCAAGTCTTTTCTTATTTCATTAGTTTCACATCCCTTTTCCCATAATATTCTTCCTCCTCAGTTCTAAATATCGGTTTTTATTTTTACTTCTCATTTTTACATATATCCTGTGCTGTACTCAAGAGAGAGAGAGATATAATGAACTGAAAATCTTATATATAAAATAAAACCTTTTACAAAAACCACCTGTATCATTGTTGGGAAAGAAACAATTACTGTTTCTATTTCTATTTCTATTTCATCAGCATGTTTGATCGGTTACTACAAACCAGCCAGTAAGAATGGAGGATGTCGGTTGTGCCCACCTAACAGCAGGACACATGGGGAGGGATCAGAGAGGTGTGACTGTCTGCAGGGTTTCAGCCGCCTGCCAACCGACCCTGATGACCTTGGCTGCACCAGTAAGAAACACTGAGTAGGATTATAGGAAATTAAACAGACGTCATACTATTCTAAAACTTATGTACGGGATTAGACATTAAAGCTGCAGTAAGTAACAGTATGTAAAAAACCTTTTTTGTCATATTTTCTGAAACAATTTGAATTGAATTGAATTTGAATTTCAACTGGTAGTAACTGTGGCAGACAGGAATGGACACATTACATAAAAATCAACACAGCAGAGTTTTTGTTTTCTTTGATTTAAAGCAGGATCTGGCTCCATCAGTGTTGTGCATTTCTGCTATCTGCAATTTGATGATTATGTATTTATTGAAAAACTGATTGATGATACAGGCTGTCTACCTTCCCCCTGCATACCTTCATCTAATTTGATTTTAGGATTTTGCTATGTCTAAGCATGTTTTTGCTTTCCTGTCATGTCCTCCACAGAGCCACCCTCTGCCCCTGTGAATCTAATAGCCCATCATCACAATGACTCTGTGCTGATTTTGATGTGGGACCCTCCTCATGACTGGGGAGGCAGACAGGAAGTGGTGTATCGCGCCAAGTGTGAGAAGAAAGCGGTGTCTGGCAGTCAGTGGGGGTCATGCAGGAATGATGTGGTCATCCTGCCAGACTCAGCAGGGCTGACCAACACATCAGTCAGCATCACAGGACTGAATCCACAGTGTGACTACAGACTGTCAGTGCAAGCCTGGAATGATATATCCACCCTGCAGGGGGCGCCACCTTTATCCACTGCCACTGTTACTATTCATAGATGTATGTAAGGTTGGCTAGATGATGTTAATTAGTTAGAGGTGGAAGAAATACATCTCCTCAACAGGAAAGAACTGGGTTCTAAGGGGTTCATAGCTTACTTATTTAAAGAAAAAGGATATTTTTTAAAAAGTTGAACTAAAGAATAAAACCTTTACCTTTACTCATTTCAGTATACTCAGGGGGTTTTGCTACTACAGCATCTCTTGGTCTGGTATGGCCAGTAGCTAATGGTAGCTAATGTTAGCTTAAGTTATCAAACTTTAGATAGATATTACAGTGTAACTGATATTACTGAGTCTATTTGCTGACTTTAGGACACCCCTACCTAGAGCCAGTGTTTGCTTTGTCCTTTCTGGGCTACTGTAGAAACATGGTAGTGCAACATGCCGGACAGAAGAGAATCCTCTCTGTAGATATGAACAGCTCATTCTAAGCTAACAAAAACATACATGTTCTTATTTTCAGGTGGTTATACAGTAATTAATGCAAAATTATGAATATTATATTCCATTTCTGACAATAGATCCTCGTAAATGTTACCCACTGGATCTTTAAATAATGTTAGAAAAATGTCCTGTTGTTCAGTGGTTCTGCTGCAACAATGATTAGCTGTGATAAGTTAATAATCAGAGCAACATACATTATAAAATATGAAATGTCATACATGGAGGAAAATGTCACAGAAAACGTATATATTGATTGCCAGTTTGTGTTATTTTCCTTACAGTTTTCGGTCAGATTCCCGTTTTAACGTGAAGTGAAGTTTTTGGTTTAGAAGCGATTACTGTGGTGATATTCACGGTAGAAGTGCAGCTAAACTCAGTTACATTGATTCCCTGGCTGCAAAAACACCAGCATAGTGACTGAAAAAATGTTTTCTGGACACTCTGGACAGTATAGGAAAAATAATGTGTTTTTTGAACATTAAAATATATAAAACTATTCACAAAATAAAAGTATGAACCTGAAAATAGTCTAACATGTCTCCTTTAAAGGCACACTTAGCACAGTTGAATTTTAGTATGTAGTTTAAAGATACATTAGTTGATTTTTTTTAGCCCCTTGGGGGCAACAGAACAAGCTATAAACACACAATAGACACTATGAAGTTGTTATAGTGGACGTCAAACAAGCAAGCAGTTTCCTATTTACGCATCCAGCAGACACGGAGCAACATTAGCGCTCATTTAGTCCTGTTTGTGTCCATCTGACAAATAAATGTAATATTCACTCTCCTTTTAGCTCTAGCTTGGTTTCATATAAATATTGAATAGTACAGCTTTAAGGTTTTGGGAGCACTGGTTACAATAACAGAATCAGGAAGTGCATCTTTAAAGTTAATAGAATGCCAAGAGTACTGTTTTTTATGTTAATTTCTTAGCAACATGAACCACTTCTGTTTTATTACAGGGAAAGTTCCTCCCATGGTGATCACTGTGACCCCGGGCCAAAACCTCTCAGAGCCTGAAATACCAGCAGCTCCTCAGCACCAGAGCCGGCTCTCCATATGGCTGACTACTGGAGTTTTGTTTGTCAGCTTACTGCTCATGGCTGTAATCCCAATCGCTGTGTGTTACCTGCGCCGCACCAAACTCAGGTATAGGGACCTTCCTCTTCTGCTTCTTTGGCCTATACTTTAAATTTAGTTAGTTAGTGAATTTATGTGGTAATGCTGAGCTCTCATTGTTCTCCCATCAATCTGAGATGTTGGAGTGTTAGATGGGACAATACTCAAAATAACTACATCACATAGTGTATCTTGATAAAATTTCCAATTTTCTGAATTTTAGATAATATCATATATTGATATATAATGTAGTTTAAGTTTAATTTTAATAAGTAAATGAATACACAGAAACTGCTGAGGAAGAAACGCCAATTTTAAGGTAAGACAGCTCACAATGGTACTGTGTGTTTATGGCTGTTTAAAGAATACTGAAAATGTTAGTCAGGCTCTATAATCAAAGCTGTTTTATTTGCGTTCAGAGTTTAAGTGTGTGACTTCGTGATAGCTGATAGACAGAGGTCCAAGAGGACCAAGTCATTGTTTTGCAAGTCCCAACTCCTAAACTTTAAGTTAAGTTGTTGAGTTCTACCTTCACCAAATGTAATGCCATTTTAACAGCATGTAAAGATATATTAAATTTACGTCAATCATGAATGTTTTATTTTTATTTGTTAAAACAAGTGTGACTTAATTTAATTATAAAAAAGTTGTGCTACATTGCATTTGAATAGCTTATATGCCTAAGGCAAACCACTAAAGTAATAGTGCTATAAATTGCCTTAATTAGATTAGGAGAGGGGGGGATAAACCCGCCACAGGTGAGACCATGCAGCCAAGTGGCATTTGTTTGAACTATTCAGCCTCCAAGGCCCTCCCTAGCAAGCTCTGATAAACCCACTGTGCACTACCTGATGGTGAACACTGGAGCAAAATAGCCAGAATGTGAATATTAGACTTGTGTTCACAAACACAACTGAATACTAAGATTGCTCTGGGGCTGCTGGATGTCTAAACAGATGATAGTTTGCTAACACGTTAACCATAGTAACTTGACAGGTTAACAGGTAACAGGTTGATACAGGTCTTAGCCTCACAACGCAGGACCACCAACCTAATTTG